TTTCCCAATTTTTCTAGGTTTACCTTTACTGAGGGTTTAATTTCAGTAGCCACTTGTCTGACCAGTACTGTATTTTGTCCATGTCCGTTTGTGGCTTCTCCTTATCTTTTTAAGTTTTCATTCTTTCAAGGGATAAATCTTAATCTCTTCTGGTATATCATTCACAAACACCAGAAGCAATACCAGTCTCAATACTGATTTGTGTGAAACCCCACTCTGTTCACCTGCCCATTTCGACGCCTCTTCTCGGACAATTATTCTTTGTCTGCTTCCCGTAAGGTTGCTCTTTCATTCAAGGTAGTGCCTGCCGTGTTTTACTGCCTGTACCTCAAATGTTTGTCTCAGTTTCCTGTGAAGTATAGTGTCAAACGTCTTCTTGCAGTATCAGAAAATGCAGTCTAGTAATCCTTCTCTCTCTCTCTCTCTCTCTCTCTCTCTCTCTCTCTCTCTCTCTCTCTCTCTCTCTCTCTCTCTTCTCTCTCTCTCTCTCTCTCTCTCCTCACTTCTATAACCTTGCGACAAGATTTACCATATCTGAATTCTTTCTGGTTGTTGTTGATGTAAGCACTTCTCTTTAAATGTCCCAATACTCTTTTTATTATCCTCTCCATTACCTAAGACTGAAGGTCAATGATACTGGATCTTTAGGTTAATGCTTCCTGTCAATCTCTTTTCTTAAATACTGAGACTACTTTTGCTGTCTACCAGATCAGAGGCAATTTCCCTATGTCCATTGATTTACTGTAGGTTTTAGTTATTGGCTTGGATAGTGTCTCTGCACACTCTCGCAGAATCCATGGTGACACTTAATCATATCTTATTGCGTCTGATATACCCAACTCACTCTCCACGTCTTCCACTTTGTTATGTGTTCGGTTTCCAGAACATGATGACGTATCCATTTTATCGCCTCTTGTGTTAACTTTGTTTCCACTGAGATCACCTACTCAAATTGTTTATTTGGCTCGTCACAGACTTGTTTGTCTCCCGTGAGCTCTCATCCTTCTTCAGTTTCATTACCTGACCTTTTACCCTTTTATAATGTAGCTGTGAAGCCACTCTCCTTCCTATTCTTATATCATGTCATTCTCAGTTTGGTGCTTAGTTTCTCTTCCCACCTTTGTATATTCATTTATTGCACGTTTACCGGTTCTCTGTCTTCTTCTGTTCCTCACTTACTGTATTCTTCCATTTTCTTTCCCTTTTTCTTTACCTCTCCGCATCTTTGGTTAAACCAGGAACTCTCTCTGTTCTTACCGTTGCTTTCTTCTCTTACCCGTGACAGTCTCCTCAGACACGCTGCACTATGTAACTAGAAACTCGGTCATTACATTCAGTGACTTATACTCCCTTTTCCCACTGTACTTCATTCAGGAATTCTCTTATCGCAACATAGTTTCTTCACTGATTTCTGATCAGCGTTGCTGCTCCTCCCCTCAGCTGTTTTGCTTTACTTTCCTCATTGCTTGAAAATATTGCATTTATCTTTTCAGCTAATTTTGTCTCCAATGTAAGTTGTCTGAGAATGTCACTGTTTTTCATTTTATTAATTCGCCACTTTTGTTTATATTCCATCTGCATTCATGTACCATATTCGAAGCCTTTTTTTCGGTAAATATTCTCAGGATTGGAATGTCAAAGTTTTCTTCTTAATCCCATGTAAGAGAAAATGGAAAAGGGTGAGTTCGAGATTGTTGTGTATATTGTTGGAAGGTAGGAGGGGAAGGGGAGGAGTAAAGTTTATTAACCGTTGTAGATTATAGGGAGGAGGGGACGGGTATGGATTATGTTGAATTATTGCTCACTTAAGGGAAGATGGGGTGGTTCTAGGAATGGGGCTGCTGAGGAAAGAGCCTTGAGAGAGTTCTAGATGCTGGGTGTTCCCTTGTATTGCCACCCCCTCCTCTTTCCCTTTTCTTTGTCCCGTCCCTCCCCCCCCTTTCTTCTATATATATATATCATATATATAAATATATATATATAAATATATATATATATATATATATATATATATATATATATATATATATATATATATATATATATATTGGCTCCCTAACCTTCGTGTGCTAGTGTGGCTTGTAAATGGTCCAAGTCGGACAGAAACGTCGTCTTAAGCTCCTCTCTCCTAAGTACGGTTATTTATGTATTTTTTAATTGCATCCTCGGGTGTTTCCTCTCCATTTCTGCTCTGTCCAAATCCATGTGTGCATCGCGACATCTTGGTGGATTACTCAATAATACTTTACATCTTAAGATTCTGTTTCGAGCTGCGGCTGACCAATGTTAGGTTGACATATTTTTTTTTATCTCTGCAGAACTCGCACAGTCTCTGAAATATTTCTGTTTACTCGTATTTTCCTCTCTTCAGTGATCGCCGAAATCACTTGTTTGTTTTCCTCCCATCTTCTTGGCTTACCAGCTGCGTGCGCGCGCTCACCTGTATGTACTCCCTTATTTGTTGCCGGGATCTAGTCTTAGCTCCTGCCCACTCATCTCAACTTGTTTGCCAGATTCACTCCCTCCTGGCCTCATGAAGCCTACCGTACCTGCACTAAAACCTGTGCATGAAACCTGCTTCTATCACTTCGAGATTATTCCACTTTCTGACCACCATGAGGCTGAAGAAATACTTCCTGACATTCTTATGGGTCATCTGAGGCTTTAGTAACCGAAGTATATGTTTCCTGGCTATCAAGCAGCCTGTCCCTGTCTACCCAGTAAATTCATTTTCAGTATTTTATTTGGAGTTGTCATGTTTTCCCTGATTTTTCTGTCTTCCATTACCCCTCAAAGGAGGTTTTTGACGCTGGTGGGGCTCTTCATCTAGGGAATTGGATCTGTGCTCCGGTTCCCTGATTCAAATTTGAATACCTTCCATTCCCCCCACATGCGCTGTATTATCCTACTGGTTTAGCGCTCCCCATGATTATAATAATGATGTCCTCCATTAATACTACATTTAATTCTGTCAGCCATTCCTCGCACCTCGTACCCATCTGCTCTGGAACAAGCCTCGTTGTATGCGAGTTTTTAACATGCTTAATTAACATATGCCGTGTAAAGGACTTTGAATGATTCCTTATTGAGATTTTTGAAGGCTTCTCTTAGATTGGTTACACAAGCATTGGCTGCATAAGTTATTCGGCTGATGTGTGCCACTGGTGATATATCAGATTTTTTTTTTTTTGAGTGACGTCCGCTGCCTCTGAACCCCGAATTTACTCTCTATATCAGGTCTTCTTGCCTTTCCCAAATCTTCATAACATTGCATTTGCTGGGGTTGAATTCAAGCAACCGCTTACCTGATAAATGGTGCTGCTTATCCCAGCCATTTGTAGCTTTCTCCTACTCCCATCTTTTGTTATTCTCTTCGTCAATTTTACATCATCAGCAAACAGGGATATATCTGATTCAGTCTCATCTGTCACGTTATTCACATAAAAACAGTATTGGTTCTGAAACCGATCATTAACGGACTTACCATTAGCGACACTTTATTTGGACCTCGCTTACCACTGAGGACGGAACTTTAGGGGCCTCCCTTACCGAGGATACTTTAGTAATTCCTCTTACCACTGAGGACACTTTAGGCACATTACCCTTCGTTGAGGAAAAATAATGAATTTCACTTACAAATAAAATTATTTAATGGACCACACAATTAGGGACAATTAATGGGCCTCCTCATTAATGACACTTAATGGACTTCAGGTACCATTAACAACATTGTGTTACCTCACCACTGAAGACACTTCATTCTCAATTATTATTGAAAACAATTTAGGGGAATTCTCACTACTGATTACACTTTAAAGACCACACCATTGCTGATACATTAAGCACCTTTACATTGGCCATTTACGACAATTTGACATTCTGACCTGCTAATGAGGACACCAGAAAATCTTTCTGTTCATCAGGCCCTTTAACCCTTTCAGGGTTTTGGCCTTACTAGTACGGTTTACGCGCCAGGGTTTTTGACATAATAGTACACCTAAATTCTAGCGCCCTCAAATCTAGTGAGAGAAAGCTGGTAGGCCTACATATGAAAGAATGGGTCTATGTGGTCAGTGTGCGCAGTATAAAAAAAATCCTGCAGCACATAGTGCGTAATGAGAAAAAAAACTTTGACCGTGTTTTTGGATTAAAACAGCGATTTTGCACTGTATTTTCGTATGGTATTTATTGTTGTATTGTAGTTTCCTGGTCTCATTTTATAGAATGGAAGACATATTACAGAAATTGAGATGATTTTGACTGGTTTTTCAAAGAAAAGTACCTTGAAATTGAGCTCAAAGTAGCAGAAATGTTCGATTTTTATCAAAGTTCAAAAATAAACAAATCATGCCAAGCGTCCAATACACGTCAACTGGTGAGTCTAATATTCTTTCACAAGTGCGCTGATATTATTTATACTATTACTACATCAATGCAGTAGTCTGCATAACAATAAATCTTCTATTTTTTTTTTTTTGTGAGAATAAAAATTCAAAGTGGAAAGCAGAAGAATGTAAGAGGGGCGTGGGGACATAACTAATGAACAGAGGAAATACTATTTTAGTGCCAGGAATGTCTTTCTTGTTTATTCTGGACCCTATTCGGAAATTGGCATCTTTTGAAATTTGTGTGAAATTGGCAAAATTGCTAAATTCTGACCACTGTAGTGGATAGTTGAAATCGGTAAATTGGTGGTTTCGTGTACTCATTCGATAGAAAAAAATGGAGTTCTAGCGAAATAGTTATGATTTTTGTCAACAAGTATACTGGAATTGTCCGAAAATAGGGCTCAAAGTGGGCAAAATCGCCGATGCGTAAACATCAAGACCGCTAATTTCGCGAGAGCATAATTCCTTAAGTTTTCCATCAAATTTCATACTTTTGGTGTCATTATGATTGGGAAATGATTCTCTATATTTTCATAAGAAAAAATAATTTTTTTTTAAATTTGGCCGACCCTGAGAACAAGTCTCTGAGAGGGCCTGTCGACCCTAAAAGGGTTAAGAAGATCTTGACTCACCGTTGAGGACGTGGAGAGTGACGCTGGTAGCGTTGTGGTTGGATGGTACACAGGTGTAGACACCTGTGTCCGCCACCCTGGCAGAGGTGATCAACAGGTAGCTGAGAGTAGTGGGACCCTTCTCAACGATCAGTGACACTCCTCCACGGCTGCTGCTGTAGCTGATGTTCTGTGGAGACAACATGTGTGTGGTGTTAGTGCTGGTGGTGGTGTTAGTGCTGGTGGTGGTGTTAGTAGTGATGGTGTTAGTTATTGTGGTATTAGTGATGGTGGTGGTGGTAATGGCGTTAGTGATAGTGTCACTAGTGATGGTGTTAGTAACTGCGGTGTTAGTGATGGTTCTAATGGTGGTGATACTATTAGTGTTAGTGATAATGGCCTTATTGATGGTGTTAGTAATTGCAGTGTTAGTGATGCAGGTATTAGAAGAGTGGATGATGGAGTTTGTTTTAATAGAGGACGTAATTAGGGACTCCCGAAGAGGATTCCTCAAAGTGGATGACAAACTTTTCTACTACCTGAGAACTCCTTATCCAATCAGCTTTAAATTTCCAACACTGGCGAACTATAACCAGGGAAAAGTTAGAGAAACTACTGGGATAAACAGAGACTCTTTTCCTAATTTTGTAATAACCCTCCTTTTTTTTTTGTTAAGGACTCTTAATCTGAGAAGAATGCTTCAGTTTACCTCCAAACATTCGACGCAGGTTTATCCTACTCACCAGAAGGTTCATCTTGTTACTCCAGTGTGTATGTGTCAGCTTCACAAAAAAAAAAAAATATTCAGTATTCTTCTAAAGGGAATCAGTCTTCAGTGGCTGGAGCATCTTTATTAGCATAGTTATGATCTTTCGAATTGCTTTATTCTGCCCTATAATTGGAGAATGCATCTCCCGGCTGGCTTCAAATTTTTAGCGCTTAAATGTTTTTCTCAAAGGAAGTTTCACATTGATTTTGGACTGAGCGACTTTTATTTTGATAATTTTATTAAATTATTTTCTCTTTCAGTAACTGAAAAATACCTCTTCCGATCTACTTCAAACTTTAAGTCCTGGCGCATCCTTAAGAAAAACGTAGCTTGATTTTGGCCAGTGAAGGCGCCATTTTGCGAGTTTTACTAAAAAAATGGAAATTTTGAAATGTGAAAGGGGATCATTTGAGAATTTATTGGCTGGAACATTCAGCATCTATAGCTTTCAAATGCAACTTCTGAACGTCTTCAAACGTAGTGGTGTAATGGGATATTGGTCTTAGTGCAACAACTAGAGAATGACTCTTCTGACTGGCTTGAAACTTCTAAAAAATCTTAGAAAAATATATTAGATTTGGGCAACGTAAACGCCAATTTGCCACTTTTATTTAAGAAACTGGAATATTAGTTTCTATGCAATAATTTGAGTACCTTTTTGACTGACTTCACATCTTCAACTCTAATATTTAACTGCATCATAAACATGTGCCTCACTCTGTACTATACCTTATGCGAGCGGTGAGGTAGATGGGGCTGGGTTTATGGGACACAGGGATAGCTTACTCAGATCATGCAGGGAATCAAACTCTACTTGATTACCGCCATCTAGGCAAGGGGACATTAGTGGAGGGTCTGATAATGAAACGTTAGTGGAGGGAACGTTGGTGGAGGGTGTTATTGGAGGGAATGTCAGTGAAGGATATGAAAGTGAAGAGAATGTTGGTGGAGGATATGTTAGTGAAGTTCTGTAAACTTCCCTTCACTGGACTGTAAACTATCCTTCAATGGTCTGCATACTATCCTTCAGTGGCCCGCGAACTACCCATCACTCGACTGTTAACTACTCTTCACTGGACTGTGAACTACCCTTCACTGGACTGTAAACTACCCTTCAGTGGCCTGTAAATTCCCCTTCACTAGACTGTAAACTACTCTTCACTAAACTGTAAGCTACCCTTCAGTGGCCTGTAAATTACCCTTCACTTTACTGAAAACTTCCCTTCAGTGGCCTGTAAACTACCCTTCAGTGGCCTGTAAACTACCCTTCAGGCTGTGCCCTTCATCAAACCTCATTCCTATCTCTAGCCTATAAGCTACCCTTTACTGACCTGTAAACTACTTCCATAAACCTGGAAACTACCCTTGATCAAAAAAATACCTTCACTCGCCTGTAAACTACCCTTAACCCATCTGTAAATTACCCCTTACTGAACTGTAAAGTACCCGTCACCTATAAACTACCCTTTAATAGCCTGTAAACTACCTTGTATAGCCTGTAAACTACCCTTCGATGATCTGCAAACTACCCTTCAAAAATCTGAAAACCATCCAAGGGACTGTCAGCTATCCTTCACTGACCTCTCAACTACCCTTTCGACCTGTAAATAATCATCCACTGACCTGCAATGAGCCCACTCTCAGCCGTCTTCCTTGTACTCCCCAACTCTGTCATCAGATCAGGCTAAGATATTGCATTACCTTGTGCAAGATAATCATTCTTCTTGATGGGTGATGACAGCAACGCTGGCTCTTGTTACCGTAATATAACTATTACAGAGAATGAGTGAACTGCACACTGCGTTTGTTCCTACAGTGTAACTACCGTGCAGAATAAGATAGCAGCACACTGTGGGTGTTTCCATAACGTAACTATCATAATGAATAAGGATAGTAGCACCCTGTGGATTTTCCCACAATATATCTGACATAAAATAGGTTAGCAGCACACTGTAGGACCACAGTTCTTTTTTTTAATCAATCTGTACTGTTTTTGTGGTAACAGCGACTTACCCTGTTGTTGTGGTGCTTGTTGCTGTGGCACCAGCGACCTACCCTGTTGCTGTGGTGCTTGTTGCTGTGGTGCTTGTTGCTGTGGTACCAGCGACCTACCCTGTTGCTGTGGTGCTTGTTGCTGTGGTACCAGCGGACGTAGAGGGGTGGCTCTGGCAGGTCGTACAGGACGCAGGTCAGGTTGATCATGCTGCCCTTCTGTACATACAGGTCCGGGGAGCCCAGGATCTCTCCACGAGGCTCTGAAACACGGGGTCAGCGGTTCGAGATCGGTGGTGCGGGGTCAGTGGTGCGGGGTCAGTGATGCGGGGTCAGTGATGTGGAGTCAGTGATGCGGGGTCAGTAGTTACGGGGTCATTAAAATGGGGGTCAAAAAAAAATGTTAAGATCTTGGAAAGATACACTTTGGGAGTTGTGTATTGAAGGAGCGCGCGCACACACACACACACACACACACACACACACACACACACACACACACACACACACACACACACACACACACACACACACACACACACACACACACACACACACACACACTCACCCAGCACTCGTAGATAGGTCGTGAAGGCCTTGATTGGCTTAGTGCTGATCTGGCACTCGTAGTTGCCCTGGTCCCTTGGTTGGGCTGACTTGATCCTCAGCGTCCACTGGTTGGTGCCATTCTGATGCAGCGCCTCGTAGCGGAGGTCTGTTGTGTAAGTGTACCTTCCCACCGTCAGGATGCGAAGGTCTCTCCCACGTATCCAGGACACCTGTTGGGTGGGGAGAGTATGTAACCATGATACCTGTTGGGTGGGGAGAGTATGTAACCATGATACCTGTTGGGTGGGGAGAGTATGTAACCATGACACCTGTTGGGTGGGGAGAATATGTAACCATGACACCTGTTGGGTGGAGAGAGTATGTAACCGTGACACCTGTTGGGTGGGGAGAGTATGTAACCATGACACCTGTTGGGTGGGGAGAGTATGTAACCATGACACCTGTTGGGTGGGGAGAGTATGTAACCATGACACCTGTTGGGTGGGGAGAGTATGTAACCATGACACCTGTTGGGTGGGGAGAGTATGTAACCATGACACCTGTTGGGTGGGGAAAGTATGTAACCATGACACCTGTTGGGTGGGGAGAGTATGTAACCATGACACCTGTTGTAGGAAAGCAGGAAGTTAGCTGATTTCCGTATCCGTTAAAGGATAGGAAGGGGAGGGGATTGAGGTAGCAAGAGAGTCGAGATTGAGCAGTAAACCCACGTATGCCTACTCAATGTTACCACATTTATTTATCCCCCTTTATCACAAATTAAGAGTCCCAAATGTGTCAGTAAGGAGGGTACTTCACCTACCCACGCTGGGCACCCAGGCTTCAGTTACAAAAAAAAAAAAAAAAAAAAAAAAACACGAGTTAAGAGGCGGGTGACCAGACTCTGTGCCGACCTGTTAACCTAGTTATTGGACGGCTTACCTACACTAGGCTAGCGCAGTGAAGGACCCTAACATTCGTTAACACATTACAACATAAATTTGATCACACTTCACGGTCATAGGCGGCATCTTCTCTCCTACAAAACCCGGTTGCAGACCAGTGACTTGTATAGGTGTCTCAGGTGTCCCCACTGGAGCAACGAGTTATAGAACCCCCAACCCCTACTTCACGACACTAAGTGCCTATTGACGGTACACATGAATGAGCATTTATATACGTTATTGGCTCTGGCCACATATGAAGGGTCTTCCACGAGTCTTCAGTTCACCAGAGATTCGACTACACCTACAATCGGCTTACATTGCCGGATCGAATTAGAGGTAAGAATTCAATTATCTAGAAATGGGAACGCAGATTTCTGGGACTGGATTCCACTAATGGTTTGATTAAATCATTAACTAATCAGTCATACACTTACACATACACCCTCTATTGTACACACTTGCTGGGTTACCTGGAGGTTACCTGGAGGTTATTCCGGGGATCAACGCCCCCGCGGCCCGGTCCATGACCAGGCCTCCCGATGGATCAGGGCCTGATCAACTAGGCTGTTACTGCTGGCCGCACGCAGTCCAACGTACGAGCCACAGCCCTAGCTGATCCGGCACTGACTTTAGGTATCTGTCCAGCTCTCTCTTGAAGGCAGCCAGGGGTTTATTGGCAATTCCCCTAATGCTTGATGGGAGGCTGTTGAACAGTTTTGGGCTCCGGACACTTATGGTGTTTTCCCTTAGTGTACCAATGGCGCCCCTACTTTTTATTGGCGGCATTTTGCATTGCCTGCCCAGTCTTTTACTTTCGTAGGGAGTGATTTCTGTGTGCAGATTTGGGACCATTCCTTCCAAGATTTTCCAAGTGTAGATTATGATATATCTCTCCCTCCTGCGTTCCAACGAGTACAAGTCAAGTGCTTCCAAGCTTTCCCAGTAGATAAGGTGCTTGACAGAACTTATACGTGCAGTAAAGGATCTCTGTACACTCTCTAGATCTGCGATTTCACCTGCTTTGAATGGAGATGTTAATGTACAGCAGTATTCCAGCCTAGAGAGAACAAGTGATTTGAAAAGGATCATCATGGGCTTGGTATCTCTCGTTTTGAAAGTTCTCATTATCCATCCTATCATTTTCTTTGCACGTGCGATCGTGGCACTGTTGTGATCCTTGAAAGTGAGATCCTCAGACATTACTACTCCCAGGTCCCTTACATTATTTTTCCGCTCTATTGTATGGCCGGAGTCAGTAGCATACTCTGTTCTAGTAATTATCTCCTCCAGTTTTCCATAACGGAGTAGTTGGAATTTGTCCTCATTGAACATCATATTGTTTACCGTTGCCCACTGGAAAACTTTGTTTATATCTTCTTGGAGGTTAACCGCGTCCTCAGCAGATGACAGCCTCATGCAGATCCTAGTATCATCCGCAAAGGATGATACGGTGCTGTGGTGTATATCTCTGTCTATGTCTGATATGAGGATAAGGAATAAGATGGGGGCTAGTACTGTGCCTTGTGGAACAGAGCTCTTTACTATGGCAGCCTCCGATTTAACTCTGTTGACCACTACTCTTTGTGTTCGATTTGTTAGGAAGTTGAAGATCCATCTCCCCACTTTCCCAGTTATTCCTTTAGCACGTATTTTATGGGCTATTACGCCATGATCGCATTTGTCAAATGCTTTTGCAAAGTCTGTGTATATTACCAGGACGACTGCTGGGGAGAGTAGGACGGTTATTGGGTGGGGAGAGTGTGAGACCAGCACACCTGCTGGGTGGGGAGAGTGTGAGACCAGCACACCTGTTGGTGTGGAGAGTGTGAGACCAGCACACCTGTTGGGTGGGGAGAGTGTGAAACCATCACACCTGTTGGGTGGGAAGAGTGTAAGACTATCACACCTGTTGAGTAGGGAGAGTGAGACCAGTACACCTGTTGAGTAAGGAGAGTGTGAGACCAGTACACCTGTTGGGCGGGGAGAGTGTAAGACCTTCATACCTGTTGGGTAGGGAGAGTGTGAGACCAGCACACCTGTTGGGCGGGGAGAGTGTAAGACCATCACACCTGTTGAGTAGGGAGAGTGTGAGACCAGTACACCTGTTGGGTAGGGAGAGTGTGAGACCAGCACACCTGTTGGGCGGGGAGAGTATGAGAGAGGATGTGGTATTTACCACTGGATAACAGGTGGACTTTATATTTTTACCCTCTGGCACTACTCGTGTTAGAAAATAAAAGCCACACAATTCCGCGGCTGAAAGAATTCACAAATAACCCGCATTTACGAGAGGAAATTTATGAGGAGTTCCGGTTCGTTCCCGACTGTTGTTAAATCGCATCTAAATTTTGTGACTTCATGAAGGTTCAGGACCGACCCCCATCGTCATGGGTTTCCTTTTCTTTTTGTGGGTTATGTGTAAATCATATTGATGAGTTCAGATTTACATCATAGGTGAGAGTTTACATGGCAGCGTTACTCATCTTGTGAATGAATCCTCATGTAAACAGTAGCTACTTAATCCAAACATTTAATACGCAGCTTCTTATACTAACTCCATCGTTGGATTTTTTATTATACAGGTAACATTATATTTCAGTTTAAACTTTCATTATATATATAGATAATATTGTATTTTCGATTACTGCGTCTTATTTATAGAATTATTACCTTTACAAAAGACCATCATTTATATGCATCAAATCCTGCAAAATGGTTAAACAGTTCACATATGTCTTTGGTATATATTCTGTACTCTTGTCTGACCCTTACGTATTTAGCTCTTCGTTATGATTATAAAAATGTACTCTTGTCATTTTCTGAAGTAGTTTAAGACACAGTGCTCAAGTGTGTGTTTATCGTGAGACAGTTTTATTATAGCTGCTGAGTGAGTGGGTAGATGGCTTTTTAAATTAAGATTACTGGTGTAAAGTGTCTACTGTGTTGCTACGAGTGGCACCTGTTCACAAGAAAAGAGAGAGTTTGGTTGAGAGGTTCGTCCTGTGCTGGTGGCATCTGTGTCTTCCTCACAAGCGACACCTGTCATTTACGATGAAATAGCGGATCAATGCATTTTTATTTTACATATCGAAGCGTCACCTGTCTAAGGAAGAGAATATTGTTATAACATTTATAGGTAAAGACGTCCTCGAATTACACACACACACACACACACACACACACACACACACACACACACACACACACACACACACACACACACACACACACACACACACACACACACACACACACACACACACACACACACACAAATGAAAGTGAACAAAAAGATAAGTTCAATTTGCTGTAACAAAAAAACTGACAGTGTCCGATAAACGAGATTAATGAGTGTAACTGACAGTGTCCATTGTCAATTGTACAAGCTTTCTACACCTAACAGTGTGAGTTGTACAAGCTTACTACACTTGACAGTGAGTTGTGCCAGCTGAGTACACCTGACAGTGTCGGTTGTGCCAGCTGAGTACACCTGACAACTGGTGTCTAGTCACGTTCAGCAACTGTGAGTTACTTATACCTGACATGGGGCGGTAAGTAACTTCATTCTTGTATTTAATTCTAACACATAATACAAAACGTTAACAATTGTTATTTTAAAAGCTAATTATTTATAATGTATCATTGGATAACCCGATTAAGTTAATGTTACTTTATTTCCATTGGTGTCCAGTTGTGTACATGTATTGATCAAGGGGCGTGGCTGACTACGTTGCAGCTTGGAGAAGCTCTGACCACTAGGGCTACCCGTTGACGTGGGACTTATGGAGGTGCGCATCCATCCCTCTGTCAAGCTTGTACATTAAAGGTAAACACACACCGCTTATGAGGCGGGGTCAGGAGCCTAGCCTCGTCTCTTCACCGCAAATACACATATTTTTTAAAAAGTTGAAAATTGTATGATTAAAACACCAAACACGGGGTACTATTTCAGTAGTGAAGAGGTGGACTCGCGAGCCCAATGTCGACTATAACAAACCCGACTCGGTGAGTACTTACCCATACTCGAGCTAGAGTTCGACAGCTTCAACCTGGGTTACGTAAACACATCAAAGATGTATCAGACGTTTCTCCATGATGTTAACGACCTGGATTAACAATCATGGTATTAGTAGTACAAAGTGTTGAACAAAGGTGTCGCATTTAATCCTTTCTCAGGAACCTGGTCAACAGGCATTTATATACACGTTCAAAACTATGGAGCTGAACACTTCTCAAGGCTGAGGGACTGACCACCTCAAAACTACTACTTCAAGGTTGATGAA